TTCCCGATGGTAGTGATAAGGGCATGAATATTTAGTTAGACTTTTAGCCTTTGAAATGTGTTTCTAATACAGAATACTAATGTTTTAGAAAAAGTTAAAAAAAGAAAAAGTTATTAATAGATAAATCAAAATGTGACATTTCAAATAGTTTAACAAATTTGCCAAACAGTCCAAAATACTTGCCAAGCTGCACTACCACTTGTTACTGTCACTCTCTAGGTGGCATCTACATCTTCTCATATTGTTCCTGTTGCAGTATAGCAAGGAAGCAAAGCATGCTTTGCTTGTACTTAGTGTTATTTTTCTTAACAGCTTCTCTCGAGACAAAGTCATAATGGATGAAAGAGACAGAATATATTAGATTTCCCAGAGTATATTAAATTTCTTTTAGGTATATTGGTTTAATTTCCTTTATATCCTATAACATAATTTCTTCTAGGTGTTTGCTCATGGACGTTATTTTCAAAGATGACCTAGATAATATTTGTAATTTTGTTTCATTATTCTAGGTTAGCCTATTAATTTGAGGTATCTAACGGAATATAAAACCTTTAGGCTTTCCTTTGAGAGATATTTATCTGTAAGGACACTGTCTTTGAGCTTGATAATTTTGAAACTAAAAAAGGAGGCTAGACAAAGTGAGAGTTTCCCCTGGTAGGATTCGCAAGCCGTTGAATGAAGAAAGAACCCAAGCGTGGGAGCATGAGTACGTTCCTCCTTTTCAATCAGAGCGCCTTTACTTTCTTTCTGCCTTTGTGGACAGAGTTTCTGATTTGACAGGGCTTTGCAACAGAGGCAGTTTGAAAGCTGGCTCCCACTGGGACATGGTTCCGCCCAGTACTCCCATGTCCCCACGTCCGTGCATGCAGTTATCTTCCCCGTGCTTCCTCTGCTTGTGTCCCCTTGAGTTGTGTCCCCTATGTTGGGCATACTGAAGAAACTAGTTACCCCTCCCTGGGCCGGAAGTGTGTCTCAAAGTGAGGCACGGCTGGAAATGGCAACAGTTGGAAGGAGAACAGTGGAGAATCTCTGACACAAAACAGCTCTTTACCTAGCCTAAGACAAGTGGAAGCAAGTTTGACAGTGTCATCAGTGGAAGCCTCTGTGATAATATGAGTACAATTTCAAGTGTATCCTTCACCATGCTATTTACCTGAATTGATGTCTTCATTGGCAATCAAACCTTGATTGCTTTCTATTCATTAGCATTTGATTTAATTAATAAGACTTGTTCAGGAGGAATCTTCAATGTTTTTCTGTAAACAACTCTAATTTATTGATTCAATTTGAATTTTGTAATTATTGTAAGTTATTTAAATCAGTGTTTGATTTATGTGTTGGAATTACTTGTGTTGAGCCTTCATAAAATAGCTTAAATCTATGAGATAATTAGAGGATAAAAATGCACATTTGGAGTTTTATACACTAACAAACATTTCTCTAAGAACTGGCATTTTATATGTGAATAACCTAGAATTTAAAAATTTTCAG